TTTTCAATTTTGAGGACTATGTGGAGCCAGTGAGGAATTCAGGGCAGGTACTAGGACCCGCTCAGATGTCTTCAATTAGCCCTAATGACATCTGTGGGCCACACCTTGAGAGAGCCTGCTCTGTTGACAAGGTGCAAGTAGATGCCCTCCTGGATGGTCATGGCCTGGGGTTTACATTCAGCCTAGAAGTACAGCTGTTCCTTGGACCGCATCCGAGCTTGCATCCAGCTTTAAACCGGTTTACAGCTGAATGGCTGAGAGCCTGCCTGTGGGGCCAGACCTCAGAAAAAGCAGAGGACTTGTAAATGTTTCATAAACTTCACTTCCGGAGCCCGCTCTGGCTGAGAGCCCATTAATAAGATCAGGCGGCAGAGGGGCAGGTGCGTGCTGGTTACTGTAACATCATTTGGGAAGCATCAGTCAGCCACAGGCAAGCTGAGGGAGGCAGGAGGGGCTGGAGCTGACCACAGATGCTGCTGCTGGTGTCCGGACCCCTCGTGGGCTGGAGCACACTTTAGCTTCTCCGGCTGCAGCAAGGGAGGGAGACAGGGCTGTGCTTAGCCTGAGAGTAGCTCCCGGAGACGCCGCCACAGACTGCTGCTGAGGACAGCTTTTGGAAGGGGTTGGACTAGCCAGCAACCCCTCAGCCTTGTTCATTCTGGAGGAAGAAGGGATAGTTTTGTCTTCTTTGGAACACCTAGCCTGGGGTCACCCCCTGTTTGATTTTAAGTAATTCCCTCCATGAGAACTGAATTCCAAGTGTTCATCAAGGGCAAACACAGTGCCCTCACCACGTTGGAGATGGGAGAGGATGACAGCTTCTGAGACTGCAGGATAACGGCTCTGAGGTGCCCCCCATTCAAAATGCCGTTTAAAGCGTTTGATACCTTCAAAGAAAAAATTCTGAAACCTGGAAAGGAAGGAGTGAAGAATGCAATGGGAGATTCACTGGGGATCTTACGAAGGTAAACTTTGAATGTACACCTTAGGTTTATTTCCGACAAGTCTCATACTGCTGACATCTGAGAGATTTTTGAATGGTGTTTAAAAAGGGCTGCATTTTAGTGTGTGGGTGTAGGATTAGATGGTTTGGGGAGCCTCTTCCAGAGCCAAGTTTATGCCTGGAGGCAAAAAGATGCATCAAAAGTATTGGGGTCTTACTTAGTATGCACAAGTCACTGGGTTCTAGGAGGGATGTGGGGAGTGTCAGTCAAGTTAGTATTCTGTTCATCCATTAGGATTAGCACTCATGGGTAGTGGTATTGTTAGGCATCATGTGCCTGTTGATTCAGAAAGATTATGAGAGGCAGCGTTTCATGTAAATTCAGCAGTAATGGTATACTTTGAGCTGAAATAATCTTGAGAAGATTAGTCACTATAAACGATAGTCAAATCTTTGTAAATTTTTAGTTTTAAACACAAAATACATAGTATAAAATACATCGTGGCTCTTGATTGTGTAATTTTCAAAAAGAAGGCTAGTTGTAAGACAATTTGAATAAAGTAACTTAAAATCTTAGTATTTTTTGAGGCAAAAGATCTCATGTAATAGGAAAATTAAAAAAAAAACACTCAGTGAATTCAAAGAGATTTTAGTCCATGCCAAAAATAAATACTATTTATAGTAAAATATATTACTTGTAGCAGGAGAGTTTGCCATAAGTGAGTGAATTGGTGTCACATACTAATTTGTTCATTTTTCTAGACAATAGTGTCTCCTCATGTTTTGATGTCCTTATGTGCAAGATAGCATGATTCTTTTATTCCTCTGATATAAGAAATGTGAAAAATACCCTCGATGTGCTTTTCATGTGTTTGAATAATGATTTCTTATCCAGGTGCGTGAAAATGTCACCCGATGTCTCCTTCAAACTTTTCTGTTGTTCTCTTACATGTAAAAGCTTTTGCATTTAACAGACTGTTTCTCAGTCCATCCAGGATGATGTTTTGGAACCTTCCCAGCTCTTGTACTTTATAATGTGTGTTCCTGTTGGTATAAAGCTTTTCACTACATCAGTCTTGACAAAGATTCATTTCATAAGAAAATGGGGTTGGTGTCTTGTTACTTTAGTAATTAAAACCAAAAAGGCTTCAGTCTGTGATGCTGCATTGTTGTGTGCAGATGAAAACTCAGCTCAGTGACAACAGTATAAACCAGCCAAATATAGAAAATGATTATAATATTTTCATAAAAACCTGAGTGCTTTATCTTTCTGATGATCACTCCCCAGGTAACTTCTTATTGTGGTGGTGCTCACTTGATTATAAATGCGTAAAAAAGGCATAATAGCTTAATTGGCCTATTCAAAGGATGGTAAAGGACTCTGGCAAAGTCAGGAACACAAGCCCTGACTTTGGACCGTGGTCCCCTTGGTAGTCACCACGCTCTGCTGAGTTTATGAAATATTTGACTAGAAGAACCTAGTCATTGGTAATCGTAGCTTTCAACCTCAGTTAAGCTGTTATCTAACACCCCCATGATTCCATTCTTCCTGTGAGTGGCCTATGTTCAAAATTTGTACTCAATTTTTATATTTTGAATTTCATCATCAAGAGTGGTATTTGTTTCCCATATTATTACAAAAAATATTTGGTCATTTTCCTTAGAAACTTTGATTTTTTTAAAAAAACGTTACTGCTTTTTAAAGTAGGGAATAGATCCTAAGAATCAGTTTTGTTGTTTGAATGGATGATACACATGGAGAGCTCTTTGTTTGCCAAATCAGTGTGCTTAGATTTATAACAGAATTAATCCTTTTCAAATTGCACAGCCAGAATTCAAAATGGAGCTGTGGGTCTAGGGCTCTTGGACCAGTTTCTGCAGAATTACATCACAAGGCAGTGGAAGAACGGCTAGCAAAGGGCTGGAGGTGAAGAACACACTGAACAAATGCCAGATATTATAATACGGGGCAGTGCTAGAGGCAAGCGAAGCCAAGCTTGAGCCTCTTTGTCAATGGTCTTGAGGTAGAAGTCGCTGGCAGGGACAGGAGGAAAAGACATTACTTGAGCATAGATCCAAGCTGATCCTTGGCTCTAGTGGTCTTTGCGTCAGAATTATCCAGACCAGCTCTGCCACAAGTCTAAGATAATTTTGTGCAATGTGTCCTGCCAAGAGTCCAGCATACAATGAACATCCCCCCTTACCTTGTGGATTTTCACATAAAACCAGGTGACAGAATTCAGTCTTTGAAACAAAACATAAGCTGTTTTCTGTTTTCTAAGGGCATGAGAAGTGAGAACCCCTGCTTTATACTTAGCAGGTGAAGAAACTTGTAGGTGCAGTCCTCTCATAGTATTTAAGACAGCATCATCTCAATGGAATCTTCAAAATGCTTTTAATCATGGGTCGTTCCTCCTGGTCAGGGCAGTGGCTGCCACACAGAGAGCCTTTGAAAGTTCATGCATGGGACTGATTACAGACAGGCATGATTAGCCTTCCTGGAGAACAGTTCCTGGTAAGAAGCAGCTGAACAATTACTTAAAATTGACATGTAGGTTTGTTCAAGTTTAGTGACAATGAGGGTGTCCTGGGATTGCTCACCCATAAAAATAATAATCTCAAACACATAGCATGTTCTAGATACCACAATCTATTTACTGCTATTAAAAGCCCCATGAAGAAGAGACTACTACAATTACGACTTTTTAATTTTAATTTTATGTGTATGTGTGTATTGCCTGCATGTATGTAAGTGTACCTATGCTGTGCATTGCCTGCTGAGAACAGAAGAGGGCATTGGATCCCCTGGAACTTGAGTTATGGACAGTTGTTAGCTGCCATGTGGGTGCTGGGATTTGAACTCGGGTCTTTGCAAGACTAGCCAGTGTTCCTTAACCACTGAGCAATCTCTCCAGCCCTACAATTATGATTTTTTTTTTGGTCTTTTTGAGACAGGGTCTCCCTGTAGCCCCAACTTTCCTGGAACTCACTATGTAGACCAGTCTGGCCTTGAACTCACAGAGATCCGTCTGCCTCTGCCTCCCAAGTTCTGGGATGCACCACCACACCCGGCGATCTGCATCCCTCACACTGAAAGTCTTCTTTACAACAATGAGGGGGATCCACTGATGGGGATTCCCACAAGTGAATTCCCTGAGGCAGATGATAGTCATACCAATGGGGCTCTGCGTTGGGAAATTCAGTGTATAGCAAGAGAAAAGTCTGGAAAACGATACTACGTGACTGCTCAAAACTCCCCATGTTTTAAGATATATGCAGGATTTTTTTTAAAAAAAATCAAAAACAATAAGATACAATTTTTGAAAGAATTTATTATTTTTTTATTTTATGTGCATGAATGTATTGCCTGCATGTATGTAAATGCACCCGTGTTGTGCAATGCCCACAGAGGTCAGAAGAGGGCATTGGATCCCCTGGAACTGGAGTTAGAGATGGTTGTTAGCCGCCATGTGAGTGCTGGGAACCAAACCCAGGTCGTCTACAAGAGTAGTCAGTACCCTTAACCCCTGAGCCCCTACAATCACAATCTCCAGCTCCTGTGACAATTTTATAGATGAAGAAATCAAGATAAATAAAGGTTAAGTAAATTGTCCACGACCACAGAGCTTAGGTTTCAGACCAGCAGTTCTATGCCTATATTCTTTTTCTTCTACTTTGTTTTTAATTTACAGATAATAATTATACACATTCATGGAGTATATATACTGTGATTATTTGATTTACCATACAATGTAATTTTCAAATCAAAATAATTAGCATTTCCAACTCCTTAAGCATTCATCATCTTTTAAAATTAGGAGGCTTTGAGCTCTTCTCTTCCTGTTCTTTATAAGATATATACTAAATTATTCTAAACTGTAGTCATCCCCCTGCGCCATACTTCCTTCCTCCCACTCTCTATTCCCTTCCTAGGCCCTGATGATCATTATTCTACTTTCTCGTTTGTGCACATTTGAGTGTGTGTGTGTGTGTGTGTGTGTGTGTGTGTGTGTGTGTGTTGTGTGTGTGTGTTTGTGTGTGTGTGTGTGTGTGTGTGTGTGTGTGTGGTGTGTTACTGCAGTGCTCTGCCCCTGAGCTACCTCTCCAACCCTTTTTACTTCTTATTTTGAGTCAGGGTCTCACTCTGCTGCCCAGGCTGGCTTTGAACTCACTCTTTAACCCAGTCAGGCATTGAGCTTGTGATCCTCCTCCTTTACCTTTCCCAATCACTGGAATGACAGGCTTGCAGTCCCAGGCCCAGCTCTCTGAATGACTCTCAAGCTTCCACACAGGAGGGATATTATAGGGCATTTGTCCCTCACTGCCTGGCTGTTTCACTTAACAAAGCATTCTACTTTTTGTGGCCACCCATGTCTGGGTCCTCCTCTTACTCTGCTGTGCCTTCTCTCTACTCAAGCATTTTTCCTTTTCCCAAATATGGTTTGTAGATTAAGACATTTGTGAAGGTTTAGGTCACTGGGTTGGACTGCAATACAGCCAGCAACTTCTAAACCTGATGTGCTTTTCTCCTAATTAATTATACCATTGAAAGTTTTCCCCAAAGAAGGCTGAGGGGAAGTCTGGAACACCTTCCACTGAAAGACATACAGTTTCTATGTTGTGTTGGCCCTTAGCATTCAGTGGTTATGTGTTAAACAAACATGCCTCACAGACACTTCCTGTTCCACCTATAAAAGCATATGTGTTAAAGATGCTCTGAGATCAAGTGACCCTGGGTTCCAAGTGCTGTGACATTCTTGACCTGCACGACCTTAGGCAACCAATATGGTTCTAACGAGATGATTCTGTGATACCAAGCCAGACTGCCTCTCACTCCTGTTCAAAACCTACCAAGTTCTCCTTCACTCAGCTCGTGTCTTCTCAGTGGCCTTCAAGACTCCATGCAATCTGTAAGAAATCTTTCCAACTTCTGCTCTGGCAGTTTTTTCCTGCCTCAGTTCACTCCATACTCATGGACTTCTTGGCTTTTACTGAAACTTCTAAGCCCACTTCTATCCTGGT